CATATAAAGATCTGTCAGAATTTCTTCTGTCACTGATTTCGCACAGGTCAGTAACTGAAAACAACCCTGTTCACCTCATCCCTATAAAAGAAAACTGGAGAGAGCCTAAAATAAAGAACTGTAGGATCACTTTTTTATCACAGTGAATATCTTAAGCGGCGCTTTTCACAGTACAATACTTTACTGCAAAAAACTGCTCAATCACCACTTCTAGAACACTACTATACAAGATTTTTGAAGAATAAAACGCAGTTTTCATTTAAAATACTTTCACCAGATAACTTTCGCGTGAAAAGCGAATGAAGAAAAATATCGGTTTTCAGGGCCGCTAAATCCTCTACAAACAGACACTTTTACTGTGAGACAGAACCGAAAGAATATGAGGAAATGAACTTGAAGACCCACAGCTGAAGCAATACAGAAACAGTAGAAAATAAAGTAAGAAACGCATGCCTATAAGCCATTTTTAAAAATGGTATGGTAAACACCTCAAATAATATAATGAATAACTCTCCCAACTGACATAAAACAGATACAAATTACACACAGTTCAAGTAAATCGCCTATCAGCAGGGGCGTCAAAATGTAGTTTGATATACAGCGAATAACATGCAAAAGCAACAAAGCTGAAAAAACTCAAATATCAAACCCATTTAAAATAAAAAGTACACTTTCAAAAAGCTTTAAAAACTACAGAGTGGCTTCAAATTAAGATTAGCTAACAAGGTAGAAACACTTCCCGGACAAGAAATAAATTAAATCCAAGTACACACTACTTTGTCACAGCCAGAGAACAGTTTTTAGCGCTACTAGAACTACCGTAATCTTTTTCGGACTCACATTGTTCACGAACGAAAGAGATAAATACATTATCAAGATTGTTTTGAGACACTGAATAGTACTCAACTCCGAATGATTCTTGTTTGCAAAGATTACTGCATACAGTGAAAAGATAACTGAGCCTCACGTCAGCAACTTCAAAATGTGCATAACAAAAGTGAGTTTCCTGAAAAAAAGGTTGCTACTTAAAATTAACATTAAATAATAGCTAATCCAGTAAAAAACCAAAGAAATGATGAAAAAGATACTTTAAGAACAGCTTCTGGGACATTTTTCAAAAGAAACCGAGAGGCATTTGCTATGTCTTTATCCTGCCGGTCTTTCTTAAACCTCAATCGAATTGAATAACCATTTCCATAGACGTTTTTAAGGTGCTGGCAACTGCCAAGGCATCTTAATCGACCGTTTACCATGATGCTTAGACGCTCGCACAAAATCTCACACTCCTCCATACTATAAAAAATAAGGTACGAAGCGAAACAGTTTGAAAAAAGACGTCAAAAAAATTCATCCTGGCAAACATTAAAACAACAGATGATCACCTGTGCGAAGAGAACAAGACAGACCGACCACTAAGTGAAAGACCTTTTATAAGACCTTGTATAAATCGCCGAGCAGCTGGATCCATTCCGGCTGTTGGTTCATCCAAAATCAGCACCTACAAGTCAGAATGAAATAAAATCAAAAATAATAAGCGTTCAATCTTAAAAATAAATAACAATGAAAAAAACAAATAATATTAATAACAGTAATCCAGACAAAAATAAAATTTAGAAATATGAAAAAAAACCCGCTCCCACCAAAGTATTTTCAAAATGAGAGACAAATTACTTTGGGGATTCCGATCAAAGCCAAAGCAACCGACAGTTTCCGTTTATTACCTTCACTTAAAACTCCAGCACACATATCTCTATAACTTGAAAGGTTCAAACGAATTAGGAGTTCTTCAATGAGCTAAAAAAAGTACTACCAGTACGTTTAAATACAAAGAACGTGTACTACTCTCTCTGAATGATACAAAAAAAAAACCAGTTTTCATTTTCAAACAAGATCACGAAACGAATTATACAGTAATAATAAGAAGTAAAAACACATTAAGTTGAAATCAATGAGAAAGAACATACAGCACCAGCTGACGAACAGCTATAGCCACGAACCAGCGAATAATAGAAAAAATGTTCACGAACAGTGAGCTCATCGTACAAAGCATCAAACTGAGGACAGTAACCAACTTTAGACAGCATATCCGGTCTGAAATAGACTGCAGAAATCACTACAAGAACTACCAATGTCAACTCCTCTTGAAATGTCTTGAACAAAGACTAATCTCAAGGAGGAATCACCATGCCAACCTTTCTTTAATATTTTTTGAACATATAAAAAGATTTCCAGAATTGGTAGGAAGAATTCCTGTAAGAAGCTTGAATAAAGTTGTTTTTCCCGCACCATTTACCCCGAGTAGGCCAAAACACTGGCCTTCAGGTATACCCAAGCACAGTTCGTCAACAGCAACCAAAATTCCACTTGTTCTTTGCTTTGAGCGTTTTTTATAAAACTGAAAAAGATTTACAAAGCCTCGGAAGAGGACAGCCAAAATAAATTGAACTTTTAAACCTTGACATTCGCTATATGTACGAATTTCAAATTTCTTTTAAGAGCCTAAAAACAAGTAAATGAAGACACAGAAGATCAAAAATCTCCCTTCATAAAAAAACATTCAAGTTCCTCAAAAATAAACTCTGCCCAATGAAGCTTAAAAAACTGCGCAAATTAAAGCTCAATTCTTTCATAAAGAACTCAGAAAACTATAAGTTCTTATTCGTACTTGCAAATTTACATGCATTTCACAAAAGGTTACAATTAATGGAAGCCAAACGTAAATCAAAAGAATAAGCCCTACTTTACTAACAGAATCAATTCGTATTATGTCGTCATCGGCGTCTCCACGCAGAACTCGAAGCCGTTCTAATTCAACATCTTTGTCATTAATATGTTCAGGCAACCCATCAGAAACCCTTTCAAAAGACGTAGAAGAGAGCCTAAGTAAAAAGGTGCGTATTACTTTTGTTTAGAGACATGATAACTAATCCTGAGTGAAAATAGGAAGAAAGCGAAGGACGCACAAAATGTCCTAGTAACCAACATTGCTGAAAATCCTGAGTAAAACTCTTAAGTAATTGTACGTCAAATAATAACCTGAATTTGCGTGACCTGAAATAATCTACTAACAATGTTAGCAAAAACGACATAACGCCAACGGAACACATCGCGAAGATTTTCTCGAACAGAATATCTTTCCTGAATGGAGACTTTTTCTTGTTTGGTTTTCCTAAATTGAAAAAGAAAAAATGCCTCGGGCAAAAAACTTTGTTGAAGCTTACTCACCATCGGTCACAAACCAATAAAAAAAATCTACGTCTGACTTGCCTGTCAAGTTCTTCTTTAAATGACCTAAAACTAACCTATAAATTCGTAATACTGATTGTAATAGTCATTAAACGCAATTTCCATAGCACCGCTACCCAAGCAAAAGCCAGGAAATATAAGAAAAATTTTATGAACTATTTCACCAAGTGCCGCTATAGATGCATCCTTGAGGCCGAAAAGCTAAAAAATTTCATTTCATTCATTCTTGTTTCACTAATTCCTCACAAAAATTTTAATAGAAAACTGAACACCTGTAGCAAGAACGACGTAAAGACCGTCAGGGTACCAGTAAAGAAATTCAAAAGAACCGTAGCTACAAGGGCATTTGACGCGTCGTCAAATGTGAAAGATAAAAGATAAATTAACGGAGTAGTAGAAGCACCATATACCAGAACCAGTATTGTTATCCCCAAAAAATTTTCATATCGATTATACAAAGGAGTTGCAATCAATCTACAACAAAAAAAAAAAAAACATTTGTAGCAAAATTGATAGTCCCATTTTAATGGAAAAACGGGTAAATTATGCGTAGACGCAATTACCTAATGGTAAGGGCGCATGTTAGCGCTGACAAACAATAGCTTATAAGATCCCACAACAGGTTAGCAAACCAATAAACAAGGCTGCCAAGACCGGCCATGGTCTGAAGGTGAAGGGCAAATGATGCACGTTCATAGACCAAAAAGTAAACAAATGATGCTGGGACAAACGACATGCCAGCAACAAGAAATACAGCAATCAAGACATCATTGCTTTCCATGCTTCAAATACATATGTCAGGAAATCAACATAAATTAATGTCCCTTAAATTCTTTATTTTTTAATTACGTACTTGGCGAACAAAACTTACACCCGAATTTTATCAATAATAGTTGCAGAACCTTCCATTGGATGATTTATTAAAGTAATCCCGTACGCTCCCGGATTATGAGAAGAAAATTTTGGATTCTGCCGAATAGAAGCACGAAGCAGAGCGTTGTTGTGAACATTTAGAAAAATAGGCACTGCATGCAAGCCACGATTATTGAACCATACCTAAAAAAACACAGAATATTTAAGCTAAAAAACACTTAAGCGCAGAAGAAAACCAAATAAAAAACCAAAAACAAGAAAATGTAAGCTAATTTTGGTCTTCAACAACCATTTCCAAATTGAGATTTTCCAATTTCCGTAAGACAGTTTTGAAAAATTAAGTGGTTAACCAAAACCTTTGACAAATGCCGGACAGCCATAAAACGCAGACTTGGTGTACCTTCAGTGTTGAAGTTATCCGGGACAACTTTTTTTTTAAGCCCAAAACTCAACCCGCCATATCTAGAACATCAGTTTGCAAAGAATAAAGGAGAACAAAAGATAGGTATTTCCCCTCCAGATATTTGTTTCCGACAACTTTTTTTTTTTTGTTTTAGCATCAAAACGTTGTCGCGTAACGCACTGGTAGATAAATAAATTAATGTAACTGAAGAGATAAGAGTATTTAAACTTCTCTAGACACCTCGAATCAAATAAACCTGCCGTAGTGACTATGTACTTCGTAAGATTAACACCAGTGAGATCGTACAATCTATCGCCAGTCATCAACTGACGATGACGTGCGCTATCGTTCCCGCCACTGCAGATCTGCCCTGTGCCTCGGTTCAGACAAATACACTCCGGATAATTGACATATTCCACACCTAACATTAACTATATTGTATTTAAGGAAATATTTAAGGAAACATAAAGATCCTAAAAACTACAATGATCCTAAGAAAACTGAACATGATTTCCGAAAAAATACACTTTTATAACCCCTTAAGACTAAGATATGAGTAAATATAAATGTTGGTAAAGGCAGCGTTCGCAATCTCTCGGAAGTACCAGTAGAAATCCAACCAAACCGGGATGAATTAAGTTAAGCAGTCAAAAAGGAGAGCTAGCGATAAATTCAAACTGCCGTGAAATCTCACAAATTTGAGTTCAATATAAAAAAAGAAATTGACCATGTATTTATTAGGTCACCATTGGTATTTTGAACAGTGACTGACCAAGTAGCGACTGTAAAATGAAAACAGTTATTTAAATGTAATGCAATGGCTGTAATAATAAATACGCATAAACATAACAATGTGAAAATTTCAACAAGTCTCTCAATTCGTCTAAAAATAAGATTGAACTGCGAACCGGTGCGGAAGAAGGTACTCTGAAGAACTATTCAAAGACCTGGCAGGTTTAACAGACTAATACTGCTAAAAACTTAAAAGTAACTTGATGGAACTTGAAAAAATACCGCTAAGATTGCGCAACAAATGCACGGTAATGTATAATTAAGTATCGAAAAGCGTAATAAGACCAACTGCTCCAGAAAAGTGGCAACTTTTAAAAATATTAAAACAAATAAGCCAAATAAAAATGAAGACTTTTAGGTTAACACCACCACTTGACTCCAAAAAACCAAAAAACAACCTCACAAAAGAAATAGGAAGTGCTTTTGAGAGGCTCTAAACGAGTGAAGGTAAAAAAAACTTTCATTTTCCTCTGAAACATTTTACGAATGATCGTCTTGTCATGTTAAATACGAACAGAATAAAGAAACCTGTTGCGCTTCGTGGACGAACGTAATCAGGCACCATGAATGAACGCAGAAGTTTCTGCTGTGCTTTTGAGAAACCGTTGCGCCGACGACAGTCACTAATCAGAAAATCATAAGTCACTGTTTTGTGCATATATTTTATATTTTCTGGAAGGTCCGCGTCTAAATGCTTGTGGGAACTATTTGCGATAAGGCATTCCGCTCCTACACCAGGAACGCTATACAGTGACTTTACAAGCATTGACGAAAGTGTATAATGCTGCAAAAAATAAATAAATAAATAAACAAATAAAGCAGAACAACAGGTAATACCGCAATGAAATATCACTTTCCAGCAATTCTTTGACATTTTTTATATAAAAGAACCTATCGTTCTCTTGCCCCCGAGTACTGTAAAATTACTAATTTCATCAAATTCTCGTCAACTTTGAGTTAAAAGGAAGCTTTGATATTACAAGTCCAAATATAAATTCTAATTACCTTTTTGCTTCCAAAAGCGCTTTCATATGTAAAGTATAAGCAGTTTGGTTGTTTTAACGAAATGTTAGTGTACTGAAAAGTATTCAGTTTCAACGGTGGTGGTGTTTCCATTATTATCGCAGGTAATGCTACCCCCATTGCTCCAGCAATAAAAACTACTATAAAAACAATTCTACAAACTGTGAGAAAATAAAAAAGACAACAAAACTACTTAAAAAGATGAAGGAACAAAGCAGATTTTGAAAACGTTGAAAAAGATAAGGTGAAAGCCCGTTAAAAAACCATCACTACCTGGTAACAAAAGCTGCGCGATAAGGGTTTTCCAGTTCCTCACAAAACACCAAAATCTTTTATAAATAACAGCAGCAAACTAGAATAAATCACATTTACAAATCCACAGGACCATGTTTCATCTTAGGCGTCATTATAAAATTAATGTTTATAGGTAAGCATTAAAATTAAAATAGAAACATATAAAAACCGGTAATACCAACAAATTCCACAATCGAAAGCTCATAAAGATAAATTAAAACATTTCTTTATAATCACCTGACAGAAATATCTACTGCAGAAAGTCTCGATTTCAGGCACTTGTAAATTATATGATGCAGAAGATGCTCTAAGGAAACTGAAAATAGACCTTGTTTAGAAAGTTGATGACACTAAAAAACGGTAAAAACGTTGAAGCCTTTGAAAAATGAACAATAAAATTACTTTTTATCTGATGAGCTTCCGACCTTTGAAAGTCCGGTCAGACAAGCATCTTTCTTCACTAACTTGAAAAAGACCTGAAATTCTTCGCGTACATCAAACAGCCAAAATCTTGCAAAAGAAAAGAAAAGAAAGTAAAAAAAAACTAAGAAGCACGCCCTACTTTTCAAATAATTTCATTAAGAACATTGAGATGAGAAATAAACCTCTTCAAGCGTAGAGTCTCTAAGACCATATGACATTACATCCAACTCATGTAAGTTTTCATCTGTCTCTAGAGCAGTTAAAAGCCCAATCATCTGCAAATAACAAACTTTTAAAAAAGGAACATTTTACAGCTACGGCACGAAAATAGTTGTTTTGTTCGAAAAACAAAATAAGGTATTGATTTTTTGATAAAAGAAACTAAATTTTATAAGCAGTTCAACTTGGCCACTCAACCTCACTATCCTCCCACCCTTTCAACCGAAAAGTTTTTTCGTTACAGGAACTGCTAAAAAAAGTCGGCACTGGACCATACTTTGAACAGAAACTGGAGATCTGAAATAATATGTATATTAAAAGACCAGAGAACTTGCCAGTTACGGCATTTCGTACAAAATCTCGACACCAAAAGAAATATAATATAAAATCTACACTCACCAAATCCACATGGTTCTTTTTATCGTCATAGCCACTTTTCTTTCTTCTTGCACTAACAAACGTCAGATAGTAACCATCACCAAAGAATTTTTTCAAAAAAAGCGGAGACCCAA